CAGCTTGATGGCACACAACAGCAGCATTTTCAAGCTGAAAAGCTGGTTTTAAGGAAGAATTTCCACGTGCCATCCTTATTATAATGCACATATTTGATTCTTCCTGCGATAAACTCTAAAGATCTTTGTTATTTGAAATTATTGTTTGCAATTTTGTTTCTTATCTAGGTCCTAATATTTTACTTTGAAAAATATCTTGCTTTTATTCCTGTAAAGACAAATCTGACACTTTAGGTAGAGAACTTCAAGGACCTATCATATGAAGAAGATTAGACAGATCTCCAGGAGGGGCCAGGCCCCAGAGAAGGAGATCATGTTTGATACAATGGAGGGTCAGTAAAAAAGAGGGAGACTACCAATTAGATGGATTGTCACAGTGGAAGCAACAGTGGGGCCAAGCATAGCAAGCAATTGTGAGGCTGGTACAGGGCTAGGTACTGTTTCATTCTTTTGTACGTAGAGTCACTATGGGTTGGGACCGACTCAACAGCACCTCACAACAACAACAAAGTTCAAATGAAAGGTCAGTAGATGGGGACCATATCGAGGAGAGATTTTGGTGGGAGATAGTAACCAGCTAGTTATCCTTTGCAGGAGACCAGCAAACAATGTGAACAGCAGCAGGAAGTTCCAAGGGTGTACTTATGGAGGAATTTGGCCCTGATGAGTAGAAAATGTCATGGACTTTTATCTCTGAAAGCAGCTATTTTGGAGAACTACCAAACCAATGATTCCTAGATTTGATATGCACAAGAATTTCCTGGGGAGCTTGTCAAAACTTCAGATTCCAACAGAGATTATGATTCAACAGATCTGTATTATTATTATTATTATTTCTATATTTAGGAATCTGTAGTTTTACAGGATCCTTGACCTGTTTGGAAGTAGCTGGTCTGTGGATCATATTTAGACAGTAACTACCTTAGACAGATTATCTGGGATGGTTTCAAGTTGCATCGAGGCAGCAGGATAGACTAAATGAGTCTTCCTTAAGCCTTGATTCTGTCTCAGACATAGTGCTTTCTAGAAATGAGCTATTTATGTTTTTTAAAAAGTTCTGGAATGTGTGGAAAGAGTTCAAGATCTCATCGTCTTTTGAAAAAGTTTCAAGGATATACATTGGATAATATTTTGAATCTACTAGAGCTTTCCCCATCATTAATTTAGCATCGATTTCACAATTGTTCCTTTCATTATAGAAGTAGGGCAACAACCCACTCCTCCACTGGGTAGCTGGGTAGTGGTAACGATGAAATGAGACAAATTATTCATAACAATTTGAACAATACCATGCATACTATAAAATAAGGGGTAGTAAATATTTTAGACTTTCTGGTCCATAAAACCCCTTTGCAGCAATTCAATTCTGCTTATATAACTCCATTTACTCACCTTTGTAGCTTCAAAGCAGTGGCATTTAATTTATAAACACATGCACATGGGTGTTATTATGGGTTTAATCATGACCCCCCAAAATATATGTTGTAAATCCTATCTTGTATGGCTGTGGTTATAATCCCATTTGGGAATGGGTTGTCTTTGTTTTGTTAATGGTTTGGGTGTTTTGTTTTTTCCCCATATGTATAACTCTTTGATTTGATCTTTTACAAAATATAAAAAATTTAGTCCCCTGCAATATGTTGCAAACATCTCCCATTTTGTGACTCATTTTATTTAACTCTTGGGGTATCTATTACACCAAGCCAAATGAAGATCATCAAGGAACCTAGGAATAAGGAGTTTTATCAAAAGCCAACAGAGATAGAAAGGCTTCCTCTCAGGCAGCTGTGCTAAATGTGGATTTCTCGCTTACTAAACTTTGAGAAACAAATTTCTGCTTGTTGAAGCCACTCATTTATGATATTTCTATTATAATACCACTAAGGAGCTCTGGCAGTGTAGTGGTTACGAATCAGGCTGCGAACCGCAAGGTCAGCAGTTCGAAACTACCAGCTGTTCCGCGGGAGAAAGATGCGGCTTTCTGCTCCTGTAAAGATTTACAGCCTCGGAAACCCTGTTCAGGATTGCTATGGGTTGGTTCCAGTGTATTTAGACTCATAGTGACCCTATAGGATAGGGTAGAACTGCTACATAGGGTCTCCAAGACTGTCAATCTTTATGGGAGCAGACAGCCTCCTTTTTGCCCTTTGGAGTGACTAGTGGATTTGAAATGCTGACTCGCAGTTAAGAATTCAACACTTAACCTGTGATGCCACCAGGGCTCCTTACTAAGATAGGAGTGTTCCAATAAATTTTTATTTGCAAAAGCAGTTGATGGGCTGTGCTAGACCCACTAACCCCTGCTATAAAGTCTTGATAAATTATTATTATTATTAAGTTGTTATTGTGTATTTCTATGTTGATTTCTATGCATAGTGATACCGATGACCAAGTAGAATTGCTCTATAGTGTTTCCTAGGTTGTAGTCTTTACTGGAGCCGATTCCCATGCCTTTTCTGCTGTGGAGTGCTGGTAAGTTTGAACTGCCAATGGCTTACAAATAGTCTTTAATAATTAACAAAGTAATCAATTTTTATTCAGAGCTTAGTGTATATATACACTGCCTGCTGCAGTTTTTCTTCAAAAGAATTTTCTTCAAAAGAAGCAATTAAAAAAACAACAACCTTGCAGTCAGATGGTGTTGCAATCTCAATAGATTTCAAAGAAAAATTTCCACTGACAAAGAGATTGCCACCACATTGTTTTTAAGACCTTCAGGGAGAAATTGAGGCCAAAACTAAGAACAGTGTTCACAAAGGCTTTGGAGAAATGAGGAGAGATTTACCTAAATCTTCAACATCTCTGACTTTTGCCCTCACTTTGAAGGCCTTAGTCAATAATAAGGTTCTTCTAGGCTCATGGCATAGTTTATCTCCCAAAGCACAGTTCATGGAAAGAACAGATAATTATCTACCATGTTGCGCAATGTCTATTGAAAATAAACTTATTGTGTTGTTTTAAGACTTTAGGTCCAAGAAAATGTTTGTCTCTGCTGAAAAACTTGTGTGCTTCCTTTTATCTGATGACAAAGATTACAAAACTGTTTAGCTTTTTGCTTTGGGTGTATGTAAGGTTAGAACGAAATATAAAGCTCAACCATTGAAAAGCTTTTCATTTTGTTGGAGACTCTTTTCCCCCTTGATCTTTATTATTTCAAAATGTCAATGGTTATCTTCAATGTTAATATATAAAACCAAAGTCATTGCCACTGAGTCCATTTTGACTCCTAGAGACCTTACAGGAGACTGGAAATTTACAGATAGCCTCACCTTTCACCCTAGGAATAATTGGTGTGTTAGCAGGTAGCTTTCATTGTATTTGAACTCTGGTGTTGGCTGTTATACCATGGACTACCAAAAGAATGAACAGATGAGCCTAAGAAGAAAGACAAACAGATTACTTCTTAGACATGGGGATGGTGAGTCTTTGATTTGTCAGCTTTGGATAACATTGTGAGGAAAGACCAATTAATGGAAAAAGACATCATGTTTGGTAAAGAAAGGATGAGCAAAGACAAAGAAAATCTTGAATGAAATGGAAGAACATAATAGGCAAAACAGTAGACTTAAATGTATGGAAGATCATGATGGTCATGTGCAACAAGACAGTTTCCTTCTGTTATTTGAGGACATGAACTAGAGCTGATCCAATAGCAACTAGCAACAAGAACAGCAACATCTTTTTCTGTGAATACCTTTCAATGTTTTATTAGATCTAGGTGGAATATAAACAAAAAAATTATGCATAAAACTAATTTGACCATATTTTCAAGAGTATTGTTTTTATTTAAAGAGCCTCTGATGTAACATATATGTGAATATAAGTAAAATAGTCACCATTATTAACAAGTAATTATGAATAAGTAGTTTATCAATAAGGAAGGTTTTTTGTAAGTATTATGGGGTGAGTTTATGATCTTCATTTCTAAAGTCAAAAGACCTAGGATTCAATCCCAGTTGGATCAGCTACTTGCTGTGCTTTCTTAGGTATGTTAGTTAACTGCTTTGAATTTCAGTTTCTTCATCTGTGAAATGCTCCTAATAATTGTACCCATCTCACAGAATTGCTATGAGAATTAAATGAAATAACACATGTAATATAAATATAGCACTGTGGTCCATATTAAGCCTAAGTATATATTAGCTTGCTAATTTGGCATATTTATTTTTATAGCAATGCTTCTGTCAAAATATAAGACATGTGGCTATTTGTTCAGCTTTCAATCCGAGGCTCTAGAAACCTGCTGTTGTTTTCTAAGTCTATTCTCCCAATTTTTCTGCTGTGTTTTTGTGTGACAGCCCTTCACCACCCAAGCAAAAGGATACTGACCTAACATCTGAAACTCTGTATCCAAATATAGTATAGATAGAAAGACCATCAACATCATTGTGCAGGATTTCAAATCACCAAAATTAAACTCACTTCTGACTCCTAATGACCTATAGGAAAGAATAGAACTGCTCTTTTGGGTTTCTGAGGCTGTAAATCTTTGGGAGCAGACTGCTTCATCTTTATCGTGCAGAGCAGCTGGTGGGTATGAACTGCTGATCTTTCTGGTTAGTAGCCCAAAACTTAACCCACTACTTACCAACAACTAAAATTATCCAATAATTTAAACTGTGGACTTACTTTTCATTCTGTATAATTCTTTTTCAACATAATCCCCATATAACAGAACCTGAAGTACTATTTATCTGGAAATCTGCAAGGTTGGAGGTTCAAGATCAGCAGCTGCTCCTCAGGGTCGCTATGGGTTGGAACTGACTTAACAACAACAACAAGTGATATTGTAGCATCTTTGTTTTAGAGACCTTGGTGAGCCTGAGAAAAGCATGGGATGGCAAAGAAATTCCATGACTCAATTTGTGGTTTTCTACATAGACCAGTTTTTGCTAATTCTCCACCATTACCCTTCTCACTCTGTTCCCCCTAACTCTAACCTTTAGAATGTAGACGTAATATTTTTCTTTTCAGTTTTTTAGTTTTCGCTTTTCTTTAATCCAAAAGCTTTATGCAGGCAGACTAGAACCACTGAAGCTGGAAAAAGAAGCCCACAACAACAACAAGGAATCCAAGGATTTTCAACAGGAAGGAAATCTGGAAACTGGAGGAAGCTTTCAGAGAACGAGTCTTTAAAGGCTTCAATATCCTTTGTTTCTGGGTGAAGATGGCTTGCCTGGCTCCTTCCCACTGGCCAGGGCCAACTAGACGATACTGATAGGAGTTGCAGGGTCCAAAATAAAGTTTCATGGCCAGTTTAGGATCTTTTAACAAGACAGAGAGGAAGTCTGGCTTTGCACCAATCTCGGAGGCAAGCTCATCCAAGTAGTCAATGTAATTGGTCTGTAGAATCTGGCTCTGGCTGCCTCCAAACCTTAAAAAACAAAATGAAAAAGGCAGGTTTATAAAACATTTTGAGTCTAATAAGCATATTATACATTAGAGCATTGCTGAGAGAATAAACAATGAATGAGTGAAAACAAATGAGTTTTTGAATGAGTCTCAAGTGGAAAATACCAGTTTATACTTTGAATGGAAAATGACCTATAAAATAAATAGTGGAAATAAATAGTCATGAATTCAAGGAAGTCGTCAGAATGTGACCAAATTGATGACCGTGATTCTTATTTGGTATTTATTAAATAGCTGCAAGTAAATAGGAATTACTTGTACCTGGGAGATGAGGCTTTCTGCTTCCATAAATATTTACAGCCTCGGAAACCCTGTATAGGGTCGCTATCAGTCAGAACCGACTCTATGGCACATAACCACCACCACCATCAGGATTGCTTCAAAGAGTCATAAGATAACACATATGAAAGTTTAGTACAATGTCTGGCACAAAGAAGATGCTCAATATTTGCTTATTAAAGTATTAAAGTACCTGGTACTTTGGCTGACATGTGGTATATGCTCAGTGAATGTTAGAATTCTAGTGAAAGATGGGGCATCTCCTACAAAGGAAGGCTGGGAACTTCCTGTGATGTAAGACCCAACTTTCCAAGAGTACTTGGTCACTGTTAAACCTCAGTCTATCTTATCTTCAACTGCAAATTCTAAAACCTTCATTCCAAATCAACACCTTTTAACTTAATTTTTTGGGAACTCCCCCAGCTAACTTTCCAGGCACTTGCAGGTGATTGTCAGCACTTGGGTGCCACACCTCCATTCTCTCTCTAACTACCAAGTATAGAAAGCTGATCTTGAGCTTAGCAGTCTAATGCTTATCCTACAGTGCCACATTAGGACCCCTATGTGTTGGTTCTTAAACTGTAGTGTGTATAAGAATCATCCAGGAAACACATAAACAAAACTGCAAATTTCTGGTGTTATCCACAGAAATTCTGGTTCTATTTATGACCCAGGTATTTGACTTTTTTTAGCTTTGAAAACACAGAAATTTATTTTCTCACAGTTTAGGTGGCTAAATGTTCAAATTCAGGGTGCTAGCTCTCGCTTGCCGTTGGTTTTAGAGTAAGGTCTTTATCTCTTATCAAACTTGGTTATTTGGTGAGCTTCATGTGTCATGGCATCTATTTCTCCCCCATCTATGCTTTCTTCCTTAGTTGTGTGCTCAAACTGTTCTTTTTATATCTCAAAAGCGATTCATTTTAGACACACCCTACACTGATCATGCATCATTAGTATAACAAAGAAAGTCCATTCTCAACTGGGATTATAACCACAAGTAAAGAGGTTAGAATTTACAGAACCTATTTTGGAGGACACAATTCAGTCTACACAGGAATACAATATCTAGGAAAATTACAGTATTTTACAGACATAGAAATTTTACTCAATATCACATATGCCAAAAAAGGATTCAAGGTGGCTTTCTAAGAAAATTGGGACTTCAGATATGACATTCAGATCATTTTAATTTGGGGAAATTTTACATTCATTGTGATTCTATCTATCTAAAGCGTTTTGCATTTTTCAATAAGTAGTCAGATGGTTCTTATCGATGCTGGATCATTATAATTTGAGAAACACTGCTTTATATAACTTTAAAAGTATTCATATACTTACAAGTCAATTCTGTTTTCATTCCTCTTGATAATGTCTGCCATCATAATACTTTCTGAGGGTAAGATACACAAACCTAGAAAATAAATGGTTGGTTTTAATAGTGGATCAGATTCAATATCATTGTTTTATCTAAAATTAAACTCTGAGTGTTTAATCCTGCTACCAGCCAGGGCTGCTGTGTGGTTGAACTCCAAGAAGCATCACCTCCATGTGGTCTTTGAGATGCTGCTCTTATAACAGCATTTGTTTTGAGATGGAGAGAGATTAAGAGACTAAACTGGAGAATTAATCTGAGTGTTAGTTCAGACATTGGTTTAAACTCTATTCTGAGGCTGATTCAAAGCTGGTGAAGGGTTTCCTGCATGGGGGTTAGTTTGCCTTGTGAAAAGATCCCTCTGGTTGCTGAATTTTGGAAAATGGTTCCAGGGTGCTGAGCCTAAAGGCAGGGAGATCAGGTAAGACTACTAAAGTAAGCCTCATGGGGGATAAGATTCTTCTGGACTGTGTCGTTGTGGGCTAATGCATCAGACTGCAAAGTCATTTGAACTGCAAGGTTGGTGGTTCAAGCTCACCAGCTGTTCCTTGGAAACCCTATACAGGGTTGCTATGGGTCGGAATCGACTTGACAGCACTTAACAACACCAACCGCAAGCTAGTGATTATGGAGGGAATGCTTCTGAAGTCCACAGGGCCCCCTGAGCTGCAGACTTGTGTGGGAAACCATTCTGTTTCATCTAGATATAACTAAAAAGCAGCTTGCCATTGAGTCAATTCCAATTCACGGTAGCCATCTAGGATAGAGCAGAACTGCGCTGTAGGGTTTCTAAAGCTGCAGTAGTTCTGGAAGCCGGCTTCCATGTCTTTCTGCTGAGGCACAGCTAATGCAGTCAAGTGCTTAACCACTGTGCCACCAGGGCGACTAACCATCAGAAAGCTCATAATCAGTGAGTTCATTGATGAGAACCTCTTGTATATAGACTTGTACCTTCTTCCTGGCCCTCTCAGTGATACCACTCTGAGTGCCTGGGTGCAGTAGGTGCCAAATGCATGGGGTGACATGGTCACAGGGGGGTGACACAAAAATGACTATCTATAACATTTTTGTGCAGTGTTTTAGCAGACGTGCATGGTTTTTTATAAAAATATATTCTCATATTATCATTCTATCTATGTAAAGGGCTTTGCATTTTTCAGTAAGTGGCCAGATGCTTCTTATTGATTCTGGATCATTATAATTTGAGAAACACTGCTTTATATAACTATAAAAATATAACAAAAGCAGTTTTTGTAAGCTCAGCTTACATGTATAAAACTACAATGCTAAAATTCTATGCTAATTTACTTTTTGAATCTTCTAATGTGTTCTGTCCCAACATTCGTCTTTCAGTTTGTCATATTGTGGTGGCTTACATGTTGCTGTGATTCTGGAAGGTATGCCACCGGTATTTTAAATACCAGCAGGTCACCCATGGTAGACAGGTTTCAGCTTAGCTTCCAGACAAAGACAGACTAGGAGGAAGGACAGGTGGAATATTGCTGAAAGGTTTAGTCACTGAAAGCCTTATGTGGATACAGTGGAATACTGTCAGCAGCAGAATATTGAATATTGAAACACGATGAAGAGCACCAGAATATTATCAGATATAGTGCCAGAAAATGAACCCTCAGTTTGGAAGGCACTCAAAATATGACTGGGAAAGAGCTACGTCCTCAAAGTAGAGTTGACTATGATGACATGAATGGAGTAAAGCTCTCTGGATCTTCATTTGCTGATGGGGCACAAGTCAAAATGAGAAACAGCTGTACACATCCATCAATAATCACAACATAGAATGTACGAAATATGAATCAAGAAAAATTGGAAGTTTTAAAAAATGAAATGTAACACAAAAATATCGATATTCTAGGTATTGCTGAGCTGAAATAGACTGGTATTGGCCATTTTGAATATGACAATCACATAGCTTACTACACTGGGAATGATAAATTGAAGAGGGATGATGTTGCATTAATCATCAAAAAGAACAGTTAAAGATCTATTTTTAAATACAACTCTGTCAGTGATAGGATAATATCCAGATGTCTACATGGAAGCCCAATTAATACAATTATTATTCAAATTTATACACCAACTATTAAAGCCAGTGATGATAAAATTGAAGAACTTAACCTTTTTCATTTGAAATTGATCAAACATACAATCAAGATGTATTGATAATTACTGGTAATTGACATGCAAAGGTTGGAAATAAAGAGGGGGGATCAGTAGTTGGAAAATATGGCCTTGGTGATAGAAATGATGCTGGAGAACACATGATAGAATTTTACAAGACCAGTGACTTTTTCATTGCAAATACCTTTTTTAAAGAACATAAAAGACGACTATATGCATGGACCCCACCAGAAGGAATACACTGAATTCAAATTGACTTCATCTGTGGAAAGAGACAGTGAAAAAACATTATTAGCCCAAACAAGACCAGGGGCAGACTGTGAAACAGACTGTCAATTGCTCATATGCAAGTCAGGCAGAAGAAAATTAAAACAAATCTATGAGAGCCAAATTATGACCTTGAACACATCACACCTGAATTTATAGATTATTTCAAGAACAGATTAGATGCATTAGACACAAACGACTGAAGACAAGAAGAGTTGTGGGATGGCATCAAGAACATTATACAGGAAGAAAGCAAATGGTCATTAAGAAGACAAGAAAGAAAAAGATCAAAGTGGATGTCAGAAGAGAATCTGAAACTTGGTCTCCAGTGTAGAAATAGTAAAGCAAATGAAAGAAATGAGGAAGTAAAAGAGCTGAATAGAAAATTTCAAAGGGCAGCCTGAGAAGACAAAGACTAATATTATAATGAGATGTGCAAAGACCTGAAGTTAGAAAATCAAACAGGAAGAGCACACTTAGCATTTCTCAAGCTGAAAGAACTAAAGAAAAATTCAAGCCTCAACTTGCAATATTTATGGAATCTATGGGTAAAATATTGAATGTCGCAGAAAGCATCAAAAGAAGATGGAAGTATCCCACAACCACTTATTGAATTAATTCCAAGTCATCTTGCAATATTTAAATCCAACACAATCTCCCCTGAGAAAGCTCAGATGATTCCAGTGCCCATCTTTTATGCTTGCCATATCATGCGTAAGTTACTTGTGTCATGTCTGTGTCTCCCTAGACTGATTTTCATGATGCCATGGCCTTATCCAATCTAAAAACCTAAGACAGAATTTAAGTAACTTGAATTAAATATTAAATTATATTTGCTAAAATAGATTATTGTTGCTGCTAAGTGTCATTGAGTAGGTTCTAACTCATAGCAACCCTGTGTAACATTTCCAAGGAGGGGTTGGTGGGTTTGAACTGCCAACCTTTTGGTTAGCAGCCCATATCCAGAAAAGCAGTGACATCAGAGATGGAGGCAGAGATGGGGGCATGGAGAGAGGGTACAGCTAAGGACTCTAGATTCATGGAAAGAGAGGGACTGAGAGCTGGCGGCCAGGAGGCAGGCTTGCAGAATGTGCCCCCTGGTGATTTAAATTATTATATATGCCTGAGTGTTTAAAAAAAATAAAATAAAATGAATAGAGAGAAATACTGTTAACTGATGGTACATGGAGGGGATTATAATCATTGTAATGAAACAAAGTTTATGATTTATTGAATGTAAAACTGCTAATCTGTCCTGTAAACTTTCACTCAATTCACAAGAAAAACTTTTTTTAAAAAAAAGAAGATGGAAGGAATATAGAGAGTCACTGTACCAAAAGAAATGGTGTGTATTCACCCATTTCAAGAGGTAGACTACAGTCAGAAGCCAGTGATACTGAAGGAAGAATTCCAATGTGCACTGAAGGCACTGACAAAGAACAAGGCTCTGGGAATCGATAGAATACAAATTGAAATCTTTCAACAAACTGAGGCAGCACTGGAGGCACTCACTCATCTATGCCAAGAAATTTGAAAGACAACTACCTGGCCAACTGATTGACAAAGATCCATATTAGTGCCCACTCCAAAGAGAGGTGACCCAATATAATGTGTAAATCATCAGACAATATCATTAATATTTCACACAAGTAAAATTTTGTAAAGATAGTTCACAGAAGTCTGTAGCAGTACATTTACAAGGAGCTGCCAGAGGTTCTGGCCAGATTCAGACGAGAATATGGAATAAGGAATATCATTGCTAACATCAGATGGATTTTGGCTGAAAGCAGAAAATTCCAGAAAGATGTCTACCTGTGCTTTATTGACTATACAAAGTCTTTCAGTTATGTGAATCATGACACAATATGGACAACACTGTGGAAAATGAGTATTCCGGAGGACTTAATTGTGTTTATGAGGAACCTGTACATACACCAAGAGACAGTTGTTCAAACAGAACAGGGGGACACTTAATGGCTTAAAATCAGGAAAGGTGTGTGCCATGGTTGTATTCTTTCACTATACTTATTCAATATGTATGCTGAGCACATAATCCGAGAAGCTGGGTTATATGAAGAAAAACGGCATCAGGACTGGAGGAAGACTCATTAACAATCTACAATGTGCAGGTGATAAAACCTTGCTTGCTGCAAATGAAGAGAACTTCATCAACTTACTGATGAAGATCAATGATCACTGCTTTCATTATGCTTTGCATTTCAATGTAAAGAAAACAAAAATACTCACTACTGGACCAATAAATAACATCAAGATAAATGGAGAAGATTGATGCTGTCAAAGACTTCATTTTGCTCTTATCAAGCATCAACACTCATGGAAACAGCAAGAAATCAAAGGATGTATTAAGCAAATCTACTGCACCTGACCTCTTTAAAGTGTTCAAGAGCAAAGATGTCACAAAGGGCTGCGTGACCCAAGAAGGCATTTTTAATAGCCTCATATGCGTGTGAAAGTTGGACAATGAATAAAGAAGACTGTATAAGAATTGATGCATTTGAGTTATGGTGTCGGAGGACAAAGCCATGGACGTCCAGAAGAACAAACAAATCTGTGTTTAAGTAGTCCAACCAGGATCCTCCTTAGAAACCAGGATAGTCAGACTCGGTTTCTCA